TTACAGATACATTAAATTTTTTTTCTACTCAGGATTATAAATTGCATACATATTTTAAAAATAACCCCAGATATATGATTTAAAAGAAAAAAATCAGTCTGGCACAACTTTTTTGTGTGCCAGAAGCAATGATCCTAAAAGTCCAAACTAAAAACTTTTATAAAGACCCCCATAACTCTACAAATGTCTCATAAATTTGACTTTAAATGGGGAGAAATTAAAATAACACAGAGCTTTATAAAAGGTCTTTAACAAGATACCTCTGGTGCTCAATCAAAAAATAGGAAATATAAGGGCTGGCCAAATAGCTCAGCAGATTAAAGTGCCTGCTTAGGCAGACACAGAGGCCGGGGGTCCTGCCAAGCCGGCCCTGCCCTGGGGGCGCACTCAGGGCAATTGAGACTGGGCATGGTGGTGCATGCCTGTAATTCCAACTCTTGGGAGTCTGAACACAGGCGGATCACTACAAGTCTGATCTACATTGTCAGACCCTGTAGACACTAAAATACAAAAAAAAAAAAAAAAAAAAGGAAATATATTAAACACGTTTCAGCGGCGGCTTCTAAAATCTTTATACGGTAATTTGGAAGGACAATCCTGAACGAGAAATGTTATTCCTTGTGTACGTCATGTCTACAAGCCTCTCAGTTGTCATAATTGTCTCCATAATTCCCTCCTGAGTATTGATAATAACCACCCTGGGCTTCTGCCACTATAATCTCTGGATCGCCCATAACCATATCCATATCCTCCAGGTCAACTGTCATACCTGCCACTCCCATAGCCCCGTCCCTACCACCTCTAGAGGAGATGTGACCACGTCCGTGGGCCCCCAAAGCACCCCTTCCTCTGGTGCTCTGGGCAGATTTGGCTACCATCCAGGGACTCTCCATTCATGGCTCTCATGGCATCTGAGGCATGCTCTAGATTGGTAAAGGTGACGGAGCCAAAACCCTGGGATAGCTGAGTTTCCCCGTCCTTGACAGCAACCACCTCAGAAATAGGCCCAAAGCTGCTGAAGTGGTCTTCCAGTGCTTGCTCCTCTGTATTGAAATCGAGCCCACCAACGAAGAGCTTCCCCTCTTCAAAAGACAAGGCAATGAATTCAAATCCTGGGAATCAGAAAGTAATAAGGAATCACGTGCTGGAGGGCAAATGCTGAAGAACAAGGAGAACAAGCACCTTTTAAAGATTCTTGATAGAGGCCAAAGTGATCAGATTTCACCTGCGGGGTGTTGGAGGTGAGAAACCAAATCAGATTATCAATGGTAATGAGATATGTAGAGGGAGTGGGGGTCTTGCTGACTGGAAGGGTTCACTGCTATAACTGAAATTGATGAGAAATGGGCCTAAGAGAAGGCTCAGGAACCAGACTAAAGTCTAGTCAAGTAAAACAATCTTTGACCCTAACCCTGTGCTTTAGAGCCAGAGCTATGTGGCCAATAGGCCTTGGGAGATTTGGATATGCAATTTGTCTGGAATACAGGTACATTAATACTTGCTTTGAGAGTCAATTATAGTTTGTGAGGGTAATCTAGCTTTGTGAACTAGCTTGGCAAAGAAAAAATATCTCACAAAATATAAGAGATTTTTAATGCTCAAAACAGTTATTACTTCTAGGGCTGGCCAGAGAGCTCAGCGGACTAGAGTGTCTTCTTAGGCAGATGCAGGGGTGGGGAGTTCCATCCCTGGCCATGCCAGCCCTGCCTCTGGGGCGCGCTGAGATGCGATTGAGACTGCGCATGGAGGTGTGCGTCTGTAATCCCAGCGTGTTTGGGAGCCTGAAAAACAGGTGGATCACTACAAGTTCAATCTGTATAGTGAGACCCTGTAGACCCTGTACTAAACACATTAAAAAAAGAATTACTTCTAAACTCTGTGTGCTGGCAGGGTGTGTGTGTGTGTACATGTGCTGGTGCTGGACGCCAGGGGCTTGCACGAACTAGGTAAGTGCTCTACTGCTTAGCTACACTCACAGCCCAACTTCCATTTTACTTCAGTCTCCTAGCACTAGATACAGCTCTGCATATCACAGGCCCCTCCTCCATTCTGCTCCCTCTGGAGAGCACCACCTGTCTTTTGAGTAAGGGAGGGTAAGAAGTCCCGCCAATATCTTGTCTTTCTATAATAGCAGGCTGCTAGCTTGTTCACTTTCGTTTGTGAAAGAACCCAGGATGGAAGATCAAAAGGGTATCTGGCTCAGCCAGCCGTCATGCAAAGTAACTTCCTTCACAGGACCCCCAAGTGGTTCTAGAGATGTCTGAATACCTGAATTAATATATCTCCAGATGCCCATGTGCTTAACTAGTATGCTGGGATGCTCCATAAACATAACTGTGGCGTCATGTTAGTGGTGGACAAAAAAATGGGAGAATTGAGCTTATAAAGGAAGATAAGGAACAATAAAGTAATGGAAAGAACCTGGTTGCTGGAATGAGAGTGACCTGGTTTTAACATTCAGCTGTAACTGAGTAAGCTACTTTACTTCCTGGACCTCCATTTCTGCAACTGTAAAATGGGGCTACAGTGTCTGCAAAGTTCATGTATGGACTGGAGACAGTTCATGGTTGTTACTCATGAGTCAGTGAGGAAGAGCGATGAGCTAGAGAACAGTGTAACACCGACAATGACAAGCTTTCAAGCAGACCATCTTATAGGAAAGAAAAAAGGCAAGAAGAAAATGCTCTTGGCAAGAACACTGGTGACCTGTAACAGTGCCATGCCATTTCGTGGGGTAAAAGCTGAGTCACAGAGTCTGTAAAAGGAGGCATACCAGCAGCAGCTGGGACGTGACAACACTGGTTAGTAGAGGAATTTGGTGGGCAAAAGAAACATTTTCAAAGGAAAGTTTTAAGTGTTTGCTTTTGTGCCTTAAAGCCACAGTTTGGTGCTTATTAGGTGATGAAAAAGTGCTGAAGGCTGAGGAGTCCGGAAGCGCCAGAGTCCGAGGTCCTGTACCTTGCGGCCAGCAGGGGAGGCTGGGAGGATGCAGACCAGAGGCAGGCACATCCTGATGGCCTGAGGCCTGGGAAGGAATCATGAGGGACACCTGCTAAGACAAAGTGAGGCAAGGCTAGGGTAGGCATGCATGGAATTTGCGGGGAAGGAGATATCCAGATTGCCATGGGGACACTGAACCCAAGAATATGGTAGAGACTTGAATTATCTAGCAGGGGCAACAGGAAGAATGTGTGTTTTCCTCTTGCAGGAACCTGGGACAGGCCCAGGAATGGAAGAAGTGGAGGAAAGGACAGAGTGAAAGGCTGAAGAGGGTCTTGGAGGTCAGCTTGACCCTGATGACGTGGGGGCTCTCAGGTGCAATGGCTACATGACTTAAAGTCACGCTTACACAATGAAACCTCCATAAAACCTGGGGTTGATAGGGCTTCTTGGTGAACAATGAAGTGCTGGGAGCGTGTGTCTACCCAGAGAAGGAAAAAAACCTCGGTGCACCTGCCTGCTGCCACCCTATACCCTGCCTATAGTACTGTTAGCAGGGTACTGAAAAAAGCATATTTTCAAATTCTGTGAGCCGTTCTAGCATGCTGTCAGTCCTGAAGACGGGGTAGTGGAGACTGCTGACTTATAGCTGCTCACAGGTACAAGTGGCAGCTTGAGACTATTTTTTGGAGGAACTAGGGATTGAACTCAGACCCTTGTGCTTGCCAGGGAAGTGCTTATTCTACTGAGCCATCTCCCTGGCCCCCTGGCAGCTTGAGACTTGTGGCTGGCCGCTGAAGTGGGGACAGTCTTGTGGGTGAGCTCACTCGACATGTGGGGTCTGTCTGTGGTAATTCCAAGTAATGTTACAATAGAGGTGAACACTCTACAGAGCTGGGAGGATTGGTTGGTGCGGGGGAAAATGGGTCACTAGAGCTACTGTGGTGAGCAGTAGTAGTCAGGGGCACCCAGCTTCTCTTCACGGCTTGTATGCAGACCCAGAATGGTAGGGAAGCTACTGCGCTGTGGAGCAGCCCGTGAATAAATGCTCCCCACTTCAGTTCTCAGAGCAAAATAAACATTAAGGGAGTTACTGGGGCCTCAGCTGTCTCCAAGAGACCAAGTTCAGTGATGGATGCACTGATTTCTTCTGGATCCTGTTTCTTGTCTCCTGGAATTATTGCCTAAAATAAACTACCAGCTCTACTCTGGGAACCTTGGGTAAGGTACTAGAGAAGACAGGGCTGAATTCCTTTCAGCCAGCACTTGGCTGTAAAGATACTGGGACAAAAAAGCTCAACTCCCCCCACTCTTTTCATTTCACCTTCTTGAAACAAGGCAAGACAGCATAAATATTCTAATCTTAAAAGAGTACTGAAACCAGTCTAGAGGAAACCAGAACACTTTCCCTGCACTCAAGGTTTTAAAAAAAGTGAATAAATTCATTATTTAAATGGAAATAAATAAATGGGACAAGTACAATAGTGTGCGAATTTTGTGGGTTGCAGCTCATTTTTTAACTTTGAGGTTGTACTTTTTCTCAAAGCCTGTGCATTTACGCAGCCAAGGATAACAAAAGACCCGACACAAAATATTGCCACTTAGCGATAATTTATTGTTTTTCCATGACCCAGATGAGAAACAACAGAGAGAATATTACAATCTCCACAACTTCTTCCCCAACTTCACTAGTCTATCATTTCTTTGTCAGATATCACAGGCTTCCTAAAATGGACCATGGACTATGAATTTTATTGTGCTGCCATCTCTTACTATTGAAACCTCAGCTCTTAATCAAGGTTTTTATTTTAGTGAGCTTCCCCAGCTTTAAAATAATCATCTTTTGTCGGAGATTCCAAAATTTTGTGAAAGCTTTTCTAGACATGTGAGGATTTTCAGCAAATTCAACTTAAAAACCATCTACGGACCATCTGTGACACATCTGGACTCTTCAGAGACTAGAAGTCCAGTTTTTAACATCAATAACTTAATGGTGTGGGTATACAAAGACAAGTTAAGTTCTTTATTTGGTCTAACTTATCCTAAAAGAAGCTGGGAACTTTTTTTTTTTTTTGAGACAGGGTCTCATTATGCAGTTCAGGCTCTCTGGAACTCACACTAGTCCAGGGGTCCTTGAACGCTCAATGATCCTTCTGCCTCACCCTTCCAGGTGCTGGGATTACAGGCATGTGCCACCATGCCCAGCACAGGACAGGTTGTTTTAGCTGTCTAAAAAGTGAACAAGACAATGCCTGAGTTAGCTCTCTATATAGATTTAGGCTTATCATGTTGATCTGGTTGCAATAATCTATATTTAACTAAAAGTTTAATAAAAATACATATGCTTATCTTAAAATAGTTACTGCTTTTGTTTGCATAAACCAACCCTTATCCCTCCACTCTTATTTTTTGGACATGACTTTTCTGCATAATCACAATCTGTCACCCCCTGCCCCCAGGTATGTGACCAAGTAACTCCTGCTATGATCAGAAGCATCTCTAAGTCTAACATGCTTTGCTAACGTCAAGCAGCAGCTGAATGCTGTGACTTGGCTGAGGTGAAGAGGAAGGCAGATGAGCACTAACCCAACTCTTCCTCCAGTGTCACTTTTTTCCTCACTCTAGCCTTGTGCTTCCTCAGGCAACAATATGGGTATGGGTGTGTGTATGTGTGTATGTGTGTATGTGTGTGTGTGTGTGTGTGTGTGTGTGTGTGACAACTCTGCCCCTTTCTCCTTCCACCTGATAGGAGACAACAGGACGCTGACTCAAAGTAACTGCAGCTGCCTGGCCCTTTTCCTGGACCAAAGGAATTTAAAATACAAATCTGAAACTGGAACAAAACCCAAGTTTCAGTAACGCCTCTTCACTCACTCATGCAGATCTCATTCTTTGTATCTTCAAGCACTGGGCCTCTCTGCTTAATGGGTGTTTGCTGAAGGGAGAAATTTTAAAACCAATTAGCTTTTCTGATGTGTAACTTGAAGCGAGTCATGATTCTTTTAAGTAAATGAAGGCATGAGAATCTCTAACATTAAAAAAAAAAGTGTTAAAATGAGAAGAGACTGGTTTAGAAATCAGCTAATGCCCTTTCTTCTTTCCACTGTTTAAGGGAACAGAGAAAGACATGAGATTGGTGGTGTCCCCGAGTAAACAGAGCCACACAGTCAAAACTAAATTCTTGTGTGTGGATGTTCTGTTTAGGGGATGTCAAAAGTATTTCCCCAACTTTTGTTTGACCTGCAGAATTGGAGATGGCTTACCTCCTTATAACTTCAAGTTTGTTTTACAAAGCCTTTGAAAAGTAAAACATAATTTTCAGATATAATAAAAAATTAATCTGGATAGCAAAATAAGTAACTGCTTTTAAACGTACAGTAGTATGCTTAAAATGAAACCTAAATCTACATTAGGAAAACTTTTCAAATAATGCTTTTATTAAATTCTCCAGTAGTAGCTGAAATAAAAATCTACCCTAATCTCTATGAAATGATCTATTTATACCACTTAATTTACTTTTCTGATTTTATTCACTTATTCTGTAGACCAGTTACTCTGTAGACCTTGATTTTCCTAATAGATACCTCAGCGTCCTCAAACATTTCTGAGACTTGCAAAGAGGAGTGCACAAAACCAGCAAGTATGACTGTCACTGATCACATCTCAATACTGCTACTCTAGCTCGCACCATTGGTCTCCCATGAGAATGGCAGGTTGAACCTGGTGAGTTGGTTTCAGATAAGCTGATCAACAATGGTGACCCAGGATTAAAGAAAAAAAAATCTTTCACAGCTAAGGCTATGACTCTTCACAAACTCTGATAATCATACCCTAAGGAAAGAAAGCAGGTACAGGGAAGGTACACAGGAGCAGAGCCACAAGCATTCTTGCAAGAAGCTTCTCCAGCCTCGCCAGACAACTCTCTTGCAGTGTCCACTGGAGGCATCTATCCCTGTATCCTGGGAAAGTCTACCTTGGTGTCTTCCTACCTTAAGTTTTAGAGCATAAAGATTCAGAGTCAGTGGGGGAACAGGACTACTGGTTTGCAGGATCTGGCCAGGTTAAGTGGTCCCTCTGGCCATCCCAGGACACTTCCTACTCTGAATTCATGGAGCCCCTCCTACCCTGCAAGCTCAGAGAATTCATGAATTCCTTTAGCTCACAGTGGGGACCTGGTAGCTTAGAGGACAACTTTCAGGGATTAAAAGCTCAAAAGAAGCGCCTGCCATTGACAGGAGTTGTTCCATTTCAGTGCCCTAGTAACTTGTGTATCTCCACAAATTTATTGATCTCTCAATTCAAGAGGCACCAACCAATGAAGGTTTTTTCTTTCTTCTGATTTTTTTCCTCTCCTCAGTTCTGTGAATTAACTTTTTGTCAACATATCACTATCTTCATTATTCACTCCAAAACTTCACTTTTTGGAGTGATGTGTTCTGTCAAATAGATTAAAATAAAATACATTATTTGTTTTGGGGGGATACACAGAAAAATGGGATTTGAAGGTACAAAACACACCATTATGGCCATATAAAATATATGGAAGTACCCAACATTAACAATTTTGTATGAAGTTGCACATTTTTTACTATTTCTTTAGCATTTCCTCACATTGTTTTCTTCTGACTCTCTGGAGCTAAGACTGAGATCCCTCTGCAGCGTTCCTGCAATTAACCAACAACTGGAACATACTGAGGGAATTCATCTCTGTCCAAAGCAATGAGTGGTATCTATGCATGAAAGTTTTCTTCACATATAATATTAATAAGCTTTATTTACAGTGTAAGCTTTCTGATGCTAAGGGCTGAGATGTGATTAAAGGCTTTGCCATATTTATCACATTCAAGAGATTCCTATCTGGAGTAAATTCTCTGATGTCTGTAAGCTGTGAATTGTCTCACATATCAAACACATCAATCTTTATTACACATTTAGCAGTTTCGCTTTTATGCCTTTAGAATTAAGTGCCATACACACCAACATGTCTCTTACATCTATGGTCTCAGGTTTAGCCTTGTCTGCCAGGCTAGAATTGAAACAAATACCTTATTGCCTGAAGAATTTTACTTTTCTTCCTGGCAAGGTGATTATTTTTAAAAACTCTTCAAAAAGTTCCATTAGGTCAACTTGCATGCTAATGGTTAACTAGAGAATACACAAACTTGTTAACAGACTTCAGCCAGTCATGACTTTTGAATCTATCCTGAGTACTAATTAAGTGTTGCCGGTGGTCCAATGACACTTTGCACTGAGTATCTGATACATCAATGGTTTTAATAACCAGTTGTAGCCTGTTTTCCTCAGAAAACACATCTTCAAATAGCTGGCTCCAGCAGTGCATCTGCTGAAGATCTGAAGCAACCTGGCGGCTATCCAGCAAAGTCAGTCAGATCTCCCAATAAAATGGGAACTTAATGCCAGGGCACAAGCCATATTTAAATTTAATTTAAAAACAAACAGTTGTGGCTTAAAAAAAAAGAAAAAAACCCAATGTGGAACTGACTGAAGTCCTTTCCTTTTTAAGAACAAAGAAGTGCCCAGAGCTGTGTACTTCACCTTCATGTCTTTTTTTAGTGGGCAAAGATCTTCTCAAAAGCACTGATGTTCTAAGCAACTGTCACTGTGGCTCACTGTTTAAGGAAAATTCTTAAAAGTATTTCTACCTCCATTTCCTTATAAACGAGGTCTACTCTTCTGGAACATCTCTTCTAGTTTTCTTAAATTGGATGGTAAGAAGTATTCTGGCAGCTGCCTAACCTGCTATGTGGCTTTCCCAGGAAAAATTGAAGAAAATGCCATAGGGGAAGTTAAGGTTGGTCCATGCAATGAAGCCAAAGAATGACTGCTGTGTAGAGGTTTAGTTTGGTCTGGAGCTGAGGCCGTATGAGTCCCTCCCTCCTTTTTTCAGCCATGACGTCTCATGGACTTAACCTGCTGGTCAGAATGACTGATGATGGTTTTAGTTGTTTCTTCAGAGAAAAATCTCAAGTTGTACATGGGTTTTATTACACGGTGATTACACTGCTGGTGTTCAGGTTTGCTTTAGACTTTAGATTTTTGTAGGGTGGAAAACAGCCATTTGAATGCTCTCATGCACACAGCCATCTCCACCCCAGACCCTTGATACCTACAGAACGAGCAACACTTGGTCATCTCCCATGTGTGTGACACAGTCATCAACTTCTGCGGAGCCATCTGTATCCTCCTGCACAGATGATGGGAGAGATTAGAGTTCTAGAACCTCACCTTGGTCTTGAGCAGTGAGAAACATAAAAGCACTGTGCACTGTTACCCTGATACAATCAACCACATCTCAGTACACTGATGAGCTTCTTGGAGCAACAACGTATCTGTAGTAATTGCCAGCTAATGATGACAAATGTTTTTATATTTCTGGAAAGTGTGGAAAACATGTTTCACGTTCCTTTTTCTGAAAAGCAATACAAATCACCTATTCTGATCTACATTACCAGTACCTAAGTTACAAATGATTCAGAAAGTGTCCACATCATCACTGTTCAGCAGCTGAATAGAGTGAATTCTGGCTAGTACCTCTGCCATAGAGAGATGTCAAAGGATGACTTCAGTCAGTGTTCATGCCTTCTTTAAGATGCTGATAACAGTCATTTCTGACATTCTGTTGTATTTATTCCTGATTTATGTTGAGCAAAACCTATGGAAGTTTCTTTTGTTTATATTTAGGACACAAATACCCTCAAACCCCAGAGGTTTGGTATACCTCCTGTTACTAGCTCTGAAGATCCTCTTTCAGACTTGGGCCGGGCTACCATATTTTGGGAACTTGTGATTCACAAGTCTTTCTCATAAATATTAAAGTTCTATTAGAAGTAAGTCATAATGAGTGTCTCTAATGTATTTACGTGCAGTGTTGTGCTATAGGACATAAAACTACATCCCTTGACAATAGAAACATCTTTTTTGGGGGGTGATTAAAAAAAAATCTCAGACAAAACAAGATTAAAAGACAGTATACAATCAAGTGCTAGCTTGTGGAGAGATGCCTTTAGGAGTGCTAGAGTGCTTCAGGAACTTCAGGAAGGGGAAGTATTTTGACTCATTGCTATTTCAGCAGAACTGATCTCAGTGATGAGGACAGAACCACCTACATTTGCTGAAGTCCTTTGGAGCTGTAGACTGGTGCACATACCCTTTCTTTAGGAAGAGATAGAAATCTTTGGTTTGCTACTGGTCAGTACAGTCCTAGATTTCTATAGCTTTGGTAGGCTACCAGTGATCACATGTATGTAACTGCTATAAGTAGCTGGAGCAGCACATCCTAATGTAGTTTTAACTGTCCCTCTTTTTCAAGAAATAAACAAGATGTTGGCCAAGCAGGGCTTTTTTGCAGCACATGGCTTCTTAACTTCAAGTGTCACACTCACAGAGCGATCTTAGATCTTTACATGCAGCGGTTGCTGAGTCCAGCAGTGCCTTTAAAGGTATCCTCATTACTGAAAAGCTTGATATTTTACTATGTGTGTGCTTTCATCTTGTGTAGAATAGCAAGTGGACTATCTGCATGACCAGCTTTTTCCTGCAGGGCTATGTGGAAGAATTACATGCCCAAAGGCAGAACACTGCCAATATAATTTTAAGGATCCTTGAGATTTTAAAAAAATCTATTGAGGCCTTTTTTTTTTTTTCTCCCTTCATGGGCACACATCTCTGAAATAATTTTAGGAATAAAAGGGGCAATGGCTTGATGACAAATTCCTGTTTTACACACAACCCTTCAGGAATGCTCCAAATGCATCCAGGGAGGCTGGGCTGTACTCTGAGGCTCGCTCTCTGGCGTGGATTCTGTGATGCAGTGTGAGTGTTGAGCTCCGGGTGAAGGCCTTGCCACACTTAGTGCACTTGTAAGGCTTTTCTCGAGTGTGAATTCTCCGATGCAAAATAAGGTATGAGTTTCGGTTGAAAGCTTTCCCACATTCACTACATTCATAGGGTTTCTCCCCTGTATGTATTCTCTGATGCTTGGTGAGGTCTGAGCTCTGGCTGAAGGCCTTCCCGCATTCGTTACATTCATAGGGCTTCTCTCCAGAGTGGATGCGCTGGTGCAGAATGAGATTTGAGCTATGACTGAAGGCTTTGCCACACTCATTACATTCATGAGGTTTCTCCCCTGTGTGGATTCGCTGATGCAGGACAAGGTTTGAGTTGAGACTGAAGGCTTTCCCACACTCACTACATTCATAGGGCTTTTCTCCAGTGTGGATTATTTTATGGCGGATAAGGCTTGAACTTCTTGTGAAGCATTTACCACATTCATCACATCTGTGAGACTTTGCTCCTGTTGGAACCTCTTCAGGGGTATTATTAAAGTTTGAACTCAGACTGAAGCTTCTTCCCAGCCCTTTCCCCTTCTCCCTTGGAGCTCTCTCTCCTATGGTGGTTTTTTTCTCCTTGGGTGTAGCTGATTCTCTCTTGTCTTTTCCAGTTTTCTCTTCAGGGTTTCTCTGTTGCCTTACTACTACTCTACCCGGCTGTTCACGTTTCTCTCCCAAATCCTTCTGGAATCTTCCGGCGACCCCATGGGACGCCGAGTCGTCTGTGTCTTCAGCCTTTGAGGCTGACTCCTTGTTTTCACTCCTGTTTTCACGACCTGACATAATAGAGAATACAAATAGCATCTTTTCCTTTTACAAATATGGGTTAATCAGGTGACATTATTTTCCCGGAGATTCTGTATGCTTGTCAAAGAACTTAACAGTATTAACTGAAGATAAAAGAGTACAATAAAGGAAAAACTGAGAAAACAGTAAACAGAGTTTGAAAGTGAGAAAGTTGGTATGCAGAGTAGAAAAGACAACAGTAATAACAAAGGGAGAGAGAATTTAAGTAATCAAGTATGGTGGGGAGTCAGGAAGGAAGAGATCAGTTAAGGAAGGGATTTAATTAAGGGATGTCAAGAGATCATAGTTATGTTATTTGATCATTAATAATTAATTTAAAGGATTATGTATTTTTAAAAGACATGTCCTATTTTCAGCAAGTATTTCTAAGTTTTTCAAAAAGAGAACAGACAGGTTCTTGCTAGAAAATAGTGGTATTAGAAAAACAAACATACAGTTCCAGAAAGAAATGCAAATACTATTCCAGTTCTGTTAGTTGTTTTATCAACAACATGATAGAAAATAGGTACAACAAGCAGCCTTGAATCAGGTAGGTTACAGGGACCTTCAGACACAGGAAAAAATTTCCCTCCAGCAAGGAAAGCAGCAAGGAGCTGTGTTCAAGTAACAGAGATAGAGTAAAGGCGCTGGTGGGGGCAATCCCTAGCCACATAACGAAGCCCTTCAACTAAGAGAATTTTCAGAACATAATAGAAAAGAAACTCAAAATCACTCTAGAGACAACCTACAAAGGAGATAAGAGAACAATGCTTACAAATATTGAGCTAATCTCTTCATGTAGCAATATATTAAAACATTGGAGTTTAGTTTTTATTATGCATTGCTATAGTCTGTGTGTCATCTTACTTTTTAAAAATCACTTATTTATTTATTTATTTATTTATTTGGTACAGGGTCTCCCCATGCATGCTGGACTCACAGTGATCCTTTTGTCTCAATCTCCCTAGCACTGGGATTACAGGCATCTACCACCATGCCTGGTTTCAGTGGCTGGCTTGGCATGTGGTACCAGGGATCAAACCCAGGTCCTTGCACTTGCCATGCAGGCACTTAGACTGCCGAGCTGTCTCCTCAGCCTGACATTTTTACTTTTTTTCCCCCATTTTTTAAAGTCCATTTTTTTTTTTTTTTTCTTTTTGTGGCTGGCTCAGCCTGCCCTGGGGTGGGGCTGGCACAGCATGTGGTGCCAGGGATAGAACCACTGTCCCTGCACTTGCCCCAGCAGGTGCTTTAGTCTGCTGAGCTACCTCGATGGCCCCTCTTTTCCTTTTATTCGGAGGCTGAAAATTGTTCTAGACATATAATTTGTATTTGACTATGAAAAAAAACTGAAACATCTCTATTCTGTTCTTTTTTTTTTTTTTTAAGTTGGGGTTTAGCTTTTGTTTTGTTTTGGGGGCTAAGAACCAAACGTAGGGCTTCCAGCTTGCTAGGCAAGTGTTCTGCCACTGAGCTAAATCCCCAGCCCCTATACTCTGTCCATTATTTTCTCAGTGTTAAGACACCTTTTCAAGAGGGCTTCTGCATGGTCCCAAAAGGTTCTTGAATGTAATCTAAAAGACTAGAAAATATCCAACCCCCAACAAGTGATGAAATAACCATAAATACTGACCAGTTCTAAAGAAAACTGGTCTACTTGTTTTGAATTCTACACCAAGGCTCTTGACAATACAGTTCCCAGTTTCTCCTATTTTTTTTCTATTATCAGCTCATAAAGATTAGTTTTTTGGCTTAATTTCATTCTACCAGTACAAAAATCAAGTATCTACAAGCTACATGTCATTGTTAAACCTGTTTTGTTTTGAGAAAGGTTCTCATCATGTTGCTCAAGCTAGCTTTGAACTCACTATGTAGCCCAGGCTGGCCTTGAACTTGTGTGCCCCTCCTGCCCCAGTCTCCCAAGTACTGGGATTACAGGCATGTGTCACCACACCCAGCTTATACCTACGGTTTCAAACAAACTTGAATTAAAGTAATACTTACACTTACTCTGTACACACCTTTCACTGCCCTCCCAGGTAGTGTCCCTGTCACTATACATATCTTGTGGTCTCCTACAGGGTAAGCTGTAACAGAGACCAATACAAATGGCTGCCAGCTGGGGCACTTTGTCTTATGTGGCTCATGCCTCTTGTACTTCTCTGTTCTTACTATATACTCAAGACCCAGAGCTCTTCGTGAAGATCACTGTTAGTTTTGTGAACTGGAAACCTAACCCTAAAGGAGGTCCAGGTGCAAGTTGATGGGGTGACACAAAGCAGTCTCTGAGCAGGGCTGACAGGGGATAAAGAAGTTAGATACCATGGAAGGATGCTTGGAAGGCTCACGAATGCAGTGCCAGGACAACAGGCTGGGATTAGATTGACAGTCAGGTCACTTGGACATCTCTACTAGGAAAAAGACTCTCCTGACGGAAGCACCCACAATGGAACTTGCTATAGGGATACAAAGCTGAATCCTCCCAGGTAACTAAGCAATTGAGGAGGTGACTCACAATAATTTATTTCTGATCTCCAAGAGTAAAAATAACAAAAGTAAACAAATCAGGGGCCAGGGATATGGCTCAGTGGAATAAGTGCTTCCCTGGCAAGTGCAAGGGCCCGAGTTCAATCCCCGGTTCCGCAAAACAAAACAAAACAAAACAAAAAAACAAAACAAAACAAAACACAACAAAGAACCCTCATCAAGAATCAAGAAGTCATAGTTCAATGAATACATATGTTTAACCTCTGTTTTGAAGACAGGAGTTCAACAGCCTTTAAATCCTTATCAACTGAATACATCAGAGGTCCTACTGCTAAAAGAGGTATAGTAATCAGAGAAGAATCCTATGTCCATCTTACCCTGAGAAAACACTTGCTGCCTACTGTCCCTACTGAGATTCCTCCGAGCCAGGTTCTGACATCCCCATTCCTCCAGGATGAGGGACACAGCCATGTCCTCGATCTTCACCATTGCCTGAAATAACAGGAGAGTCCCACTCAGTTCCCCCAAAATGCAGAGACAGCCCATTGCCCAAAGCTGATGTCAAGGACAGCACTGCCTGCAGTCACAGGATGCTGGGGAGGATATGACCAAGCCTGATAGACTGAGGGGTTCTGTGGTAGGAAGATCTATGGGAGAGGGCATGGGCTTCTATGGGTGGGACATTGAGAGAGAGTGACCTGGTGGAAGCTTCGACAGGAGCTCCGGAGGAGGCAGATAGGGGGACTCAGGAGGGCGCAGGGCACACAGCTCACCTGGGAATCTGTGGTCAGTAGGGCAGATGCCATTGCCTGGTCTCTGGGACTCCCCTCAGGGGGGGCAGGAACACGGGTGGCAGGGACAGCTGATGGAGAAGAAAGGAGCTGTGAGTAAATCAGCTCTGCTCTGAGCTTTGCTCAAGGGGGGCCTGGGGCACTCTCCTTCCTGCACCAACCCATTTACTGTTCCATGTTTAACTCCAGAGAACCCAGACAAAAGATAGCAGGACCTCTATGATCTCTGCTGTGGCAAAAGCACAGGAGCCATAAAGGGGTCGAAGCCCTTTGCTTTATTGAAAGGGGACCTTGCAGCCCTGAGAAGCTAAATGAATTGTCTAATGTCACTAAGGAATGGCAGGGCCAGGCAGGTCTTGAACCCAGGTTCCTATTCTTAACAAGAAAATCAGCAACATTAACCTATACTTCTGGCTCATACATTTCTCCAGCTCAAGGATAGTACAAGGATATTAAAACTCATTTGTGCTTACACTTGTCAAAAATGTAGCCCAGCTTTAAAGTTTTACATTAAACCCACAAGGAAGAACAGGAAGGAGATCTTCAAGTAAGTATCTGCCATGGGACTGGGGGAGGGGGGCAGAAGTACTGAGAATTGAAATGAGGGCCTTCTCACTGAGCTACAACTCTGGCCCTTTTTTATTTGGAGACAAGGTCTTGGCAAATTCCCAAGGCTGGGCTCAAACTTGCAATCTTCTTGCCTTAGTCTCCCACAGTGCTAGACTAACCCACCTGGCTAGCTTTTGCCATTTTTGTTTCTCTATTTCTCTCCTTCACTCAGCTATAATAAACAGTTTTTGATAAAATTATATATATATGATTGAAAATTTTTTTCCCTTCCTTTATGTATTTGGTACAGGGCTCACTACACAGCTTGGACTCCTAGCAATCTTCTGGTTTTCAGCCTCCCCAGCACTGGGATTACACGTGTGCATTACCACACCTGGACTTGTTTTCAGGCTCAGCATGCACCAGGGGCGGGGCCGGTAACATGCGGGAATAGGATTGAATTTTTTTTTTTTTTTAATGATTGAAATGTTGATGAAACATTTACAAATGTATGGAGGGATGGGGAGACATATAAGACACCCATAATACAACATATGAGCACATCAACTATAGTATGTAAGAAGAATTGGAAAAATTTTAAATTGCAAAATTAAAATTAACACCTGCCCTCTCTTTCCTTGCCAAAGACTATTACAGTTGAAAGCATTACATAAACAGATGATGGTACACAGTGCAAATGTATGAATTTGAAACTGAATTACATGGGGGTGGGGCTTAGGCTCAGTGCCTGCCTGGCAAGCATAAGGTTCTGAGTTCAATTCTGGTACCTTCTCCAAACCAAAACAAAAACTGAATGATAAAACTTGTAGTTACTCCCACCTGTACAATAAGGTGGGCTAAGCTCTCATGCCTCTTCATAATAGCCCATGCTATATTTAAGTTACCTTGTTTATTTTTGGTCTTTTTTGATTTTTTTTAGTTTTTGGTACCAGGGATCAAACGTAGGACCTCACACTTGCCAGGCAAGCACTTATTCCACTGAGCTATGTCCCCAGCCCCATTTTGAATTTTTCTTTTCTTTCTGATTTTTTTTTTTTTTTTTTTTTTTTTTTGGAGAGGTTTTTATTTTTTGCTTTTGGTGCCGAGGACTGAACCCAAGGCTTCCACCTTGCTAGGCAAGCTGAGCCAAATCCCCAGGCCTCCACCCTATATTTTATTTTTTGTTTTATTTTTCTTTTGGTACTGGTGATCGAACTCAGGACCTTGCACTTGCCAGGCAGCGCTTATGCCACTGAGCTATCTCCCTAGCCCCTACCACCCTGTACTTATAGAGCCATAATGGTGAACCTTTTAGAGTCAAGTGTCCAAACTGCAATCCCGAATCCACTTATTCACTGCAAAGTGCCAATACTGCAATTAAACCCGAATGCTGAGGCTTTAGTTTACAAAAAACAACTCATTAACATTTTTTGTCTTAAAAGTAAAACACCACCTGTGCCACAGGTTAGCCACCACTGCTTTAGGCTGTCGTATTTCCCCCTCCCTTTTATTTGGCCCAAGCTGGCTGTGCAGAGCCCACTGTTTCTTTCTCCTGCCCTGTACTTTTCCCTACCTTTAATAAATGTGAAACTCTGCCACTGTTTAAAGAAAAAAGATAGGTTGAAACAAAATCCACCAAAAGATCACATTTAAACCTGAGAAATAGGAAACTTGCACAGGACAAACAGTAAATTGATTTTGAATGTTTTTGTTTTGTTTTGGCAGAACCAGGGATTGAACTCAGACTCTCGTGCTTGCCAGGGAAGCGCTTATTCTACTGAGCTATCTCCCTGGCAACAAACAGTAAATTGAAAACAAAGGTATATACCTCAATTCTATCAAGAACAGTTTACTAAGTAATAACTGTAGGCATAGGGTGGGTCTCTAAAACTATTTCTTTGCCAACCTAAAGCACTAATCTGGTGCACAGACTACAAGACCATGAACATCCTATTTCTTAATGTCATTCTCTGTGACTTTTGCTTGTAGAGTGTGGAGAAGCCTCCCAAGCCTTCAAAGGACATCAGTAGTGTTGGGGTTATACATCACAGGGCACTGGTGTGCATGGATGTCTCTGGCATTTAATTCCAGGCTGAGCTCCAGGATGAATGGCAGAGAGAATGCTTTTTTTAAAAAAATTTTATTTATGCGTGTGTGTGTGTGTGTGTGTGTGTGGCCAGCTCAGCCCACCAGGGGGCGGGGCTGGCTGGCATGTGGTGCTGGGGGATTGAACCGCGGTCGCTGTGCTTTGCTAAGCTTGTTCTAAGTAGGTGCTTTAGACCACTGAGCCATCTCACCAGCCTGAGAATGCTCTCTTAAGTGCTACGATCTAATATTCCTGACAAATGTTACTGCAAACAAATATCCTAGTAAAGGAACCTGCCTTGATCAATTGTATTTTCTTTTTTGGTACCAGGAATTAAACTCAGAATCTCACGCTTGCCAGGCAGGAGCTGTGAAGCTGAGCTATATCCCCAGCCCCCTTTTTTTTGAAACATAGTTTAGCTACACAGTCCAGGCTGGACTTGAATTTGTGGCCAATTCTCCTGCCTGAGCGTCCCAAGTGCTGGAATTACAGACCTGCACCACCACAACCACTAACCAAATGTATTTTCAACATTTCATGATTTTTACTGACATTCTACACATCTACTCTCACAAAAATACATTGTATATTTCACCAAAGGGGAAAGAAAACCCAATGGAATAGATTTTTATATGCTCCTGAATTTGTTTTTAAAATTTCCTCAACAAAAAAGCATCCCTCCCCGCAAAAACCCATTTTTGTTTTCCTTTTCTCTAAATTTTTTTTTACAGTAACCTAGAAAAGAGCAGTGTTAAATTGTATTTTTATGTATTTTTAAATGAAATGAATCTTTAAAAGATTTACAGTCCCTTGAAAGATCATAGTACAGTGTTTTAAAACCCAGGCTGGAAATACATCATTTGCTCCCTATACCACTCCTGTCAGAAATCTACTAAACATCTTAAATACTAACAGTTCAGTAAATAATGACTACCAAGTTCAGTGTCACAGTTCACTTACCTCCTTGGTATATCATTTAATTCCTGAGATTGGACTAACTCATATTCACCTACTGTTAGTAACAATATCATTAGGCAAAATAACAAAAACAAGCATGCTGTTTAAATCTTAGGCAGTGAACAACATGGAGAGGGTATTCTTATCCTGGATAATTTACTTCTTTTCCCCACAGGAAACCTCCTTCTTACCTCGGGATTGCAAGAGGCGGGGTTTCCGAGATGAATGCTTGAAGTGTGACTGGGTGGCCTCATGATGGAGGTCAAAACTTGAAGACTCCTGAACTGGATCCAGAGGTGCCATGCCTCTGGCAAGCATCTCAGGCCCATGAACTTGACCGGGGACCTAAGGACAATCAGGTTGGACTTGTAGATAAATCATTTTTATTTTTATTTATTTATTTATTGTGTGTGTGTGGCCAGCTCAACCCACCAGGGGGCAGGGCGGGCTGGCATGTGGTGCTGGGGGATTGAACCTTGGTCCCTGTGTTTTGCTTAGCTTAGCTTGTTCTAAGTAGGTACTTTAGACCACTGAGCCATCTCACCAGCCCCCAGAGAAATTATTTTTTAAAACAGGAATTAAAATATTAAAAAGATTTTCCAGTGGGTGAAGGAGGTCAGAACACTTTTTTTTGGGGAAAGGGGTGGGGTGTCTTGAGCCTGAGGCCTTGTAAATGCTAAGCCCACACTCTACACTGAGCTACACCCCTGGCCCCCAGATGACTTGGTAAATCCTACTCCCCAGAACAGGCAGAATAACCACAAAGATTCCTAATACTAGCTCTACATCAGTGGCTTTCTCCTATCCCCAAAGTCCATGCCTCTTCACATATAAACTTCATCTCTTTTTACCTGTTGTCCTGACAGATCAAGCTCCAAGTCTTCTAGGAGGGTCACAGCTTCCTCTCCACTATCGGGCCGGTACTCTTGTAGCCAGACTTGGAGCTCTTTGGGCAGAATGGAAAGGAACTGCTCCAGCACCAGCAGCTCAAGGATCTGCTCCTTGGTGTTTATCTCTGGTCGTAACCACTGATGACAAAGTTCCTTTAGTCGACTCAGTGCCTCTCGAGGTCCAAAAGTGTTCTGGTAACAGAAGCGCCTAAAACGCTGGCGGAAAATCTCTGGGTCGGGAGGTGGTGTCTCCTGCAGGGTGGAATCCTGCCCCCACACGTGGTCTTCCTCATCCTCCTCTTCTACCTTCACTATGACGATGCCATCCTTCTCCTGTGTGGCCTGGGGGGACAGACCTGTGGCTTCCCTGGACTCAGCAGTCATCGTTCAGGCTCAGGGAGCTGGTGTGATCCAAATGGGGTCTGGGCTAGCCTTTTCAGATAGAGGATTCAGTACTCTTTCTGCACTATTCCTGATGTATTAAAAGAAGTTATTAGTTATCTTTATAAAAAGTGACTTGTGGTGCTACTGCTATTCATCAAAGTACTAAGAACATCTCAGAATAAAAACAATCAGGGGGCTGACATGATAGCTCAGCGGTGTAAAGCGCCCACTTCAGCAAGCTCAGGCAGGCACAAGGGACTCCGGTTCAATCCCAGGCACTAGGCTGCGCCAGCCTCGCCCTCAGGGCAGACTAAGCTGGCCTAAATAAATATGATTTCTATTAAAAACAAAACAAAACAACAACAACTGAGTTCCAGTGTCTCCCAGTCACTTCATGTGCTAAACTCTGCAAAGAGAAACCTCAAATGGGTAACCTCCATCCTCAGGGTGTTAGCCTGGAGCGAGAGCAACTTGCCCCCAGGTGTACAGCAGGATACAAGACAGTGTACAGTGTTTACAGCGCTCAGCCCAACGAGAGCTCCACTATTGGCAGGGTATCAAGCACCAGGCTGAGTGCCATACATGCATATTCATCTGTGCCTACAACAACCCTTGTGGGTAGGAGGAATGTTAGTGCCACGTTAGAGATGATGCAACAGGACCAGGCCAAGGATAGCTTAAGCAGTTCATTCAGATATAATGACTACCTAGAAATCACTGAAGCCAAATGTGAAGCTCCAGGACTTGCTAAGGTATCATTTACCCAATTTTCTTATTTTTATGGGTGTCTTGGGCAGTCAAAAGAGGTGGTTTCCAAAGTACAAGATAATCTTCCTGGGATAATGAAAGAATGTATCTGAAGGTGCTTTAAAAGTGAAGAAATGACATTTTATTTAACTGCAAATCAAGACTAACACCCTCACTGGGTCTATGTCCTCAACTGTTACATGTCACACTGAATATTCTCAGAACGTATCCCTATGTTCACTTCTAGATTCTGAGATGTTTTCTGGCTTAGCTGCGCAGTCATGTGAAACGGTGGGATATTCTAACTAGCTTTATCTAATTTCAACGTCATAAATGAGGCCAGCAGCTTAAAAAGATTCTTGCAGAGACAATTAGAGGAAATACAGGGGATGATGCAAACCCAAGTGGACAGCAACACAACAAGCAGAGCAGAAGCTTCTCTGGAAAGTGAGGTCTTAGCCAGATCAGGAGGTAAAACCCAAAGTCCCTCTACAAATGAAGTCACCAATGAGGGAGAAAGCAGCTGGCTTAAAAATCAAGAGAAAATAGCAATTACAAACAATATAAGTATTTTCATCATTATGTACCTACCAAAAATGATACCATGGCCCGTAGAAAAGACCCCTACATGTACATTTTCTAAAAACCTGCTTTAAACTTCCAAAAGAATTTTATAATTTAAACCTGTTTAAAGAAAAATAATGAAAAGCAACTGTGTCACTAGTTTTGTAAGAGCTGGTGATTCAAGTTGATGAAAAATAAAAATGTACTGGACTAGTCACAAACATTGAGCATTGAAAGCCGTTCGTTCACAAGTTACTGAATCGAACTGGCAACACGATTATTCCATTTGAATTGTTAAATCTTTGTGAAAACTAAGCATCAAGTTGATATTTTAGGAGCAAAGCATCAAATTGTTGTATCATAGTGAATTAAACTGTTTTAAACAAGCAAAGTATTTTTTTATATTTTTGCAGTGCTAGGGATCAAACGCAGGGCCCTGTACTTGCCAGACAAGCACTCTGCCACCGAATGACATCCCCATCCTCTAAAGAAGTATTTTTAATTACATGGCTTTCCCTAAAAAACAACCAAACAAAAAACCCAAACAAAAAATCCAGTAATTTGATGCAAAAGGGGTTATGTATATTAACACAAAGTTTAAACAGTACAATTTAATGCTGCATATTTTTATTGTACAAAATATTGATAGAATAGTATAGGTTAGTAATTTTTATAAAAAGTTGTTTTTAATTAGTAGTATTCTTTTATCTGCTGTTTTACATTCTGTGGCTTTTGATACCTGCAATCAATTGTGGTCTGAAAATACTAAACCGCAAATTCCAGAAATAATTCATTAAGCTTTTTGTTTTTTTGAGATAGGATTTTGCTATGTAGTCCAAGCTGGCCTTGAATTCAATATGTAGCCCAGTCTGGCTTCAAACACAATCCTTTTGTCTCGGCTGAGTGCTGGCATAACAGGCATGTACCACCTCACCCAGCACCTTAAATTTTAAATAACTTTTGCTACAGTATATAACTGCTCTATTTTGCCTTTAGTTATTGCTAATGTCTTAGTGTGCCTAATTTATGCATTGAATTGCCACAGACTGTGTATATATAACAAAAAGAAAAACAAAACACAGAGGATAGTTCTATCTGTGCTCTCAGGCATCTTTGGAATGCCCTGAAACAGATCCCCTGAGAATGGGGCAGCAGTGCTACTGTATACATGGTTTTAAACACAAAGGTTATTACTATAACCTGAAATTTATTATAGGATTATTGCTTTTAGCTCATTTTTATATCCTTAATGAAAAACAAATTCTTATAAAAAATAATAAACAATGAAAAAGGGCTTTCTTCATAAAAGAAACCTTGGAATCAAGTCATTCCTCCACTGACTTAAAGGTGGTAAATTTTCTATTATAAACTATATCTATGTGGGCATATGGGTGCACCTTGAGACCATATAATGTTAAATGAAATAAATCAGACACACAAGCTTAAATATTAAAAGGCACCTTTTATATGAGAAACCCAAAGTATAAATAACTTAAAGTACAAAATAAAAAATAGTAGAAAACAGATCTTTAGCAAATAGGAAGGGGACCCAGACAGAGGAAAGGAGGTAAAAAGAATTACAAGAATTAAGAATTGTTATGTAAATGTACCAGCTTTCCATAGTGTGATCATTGTGATGCAAACATATACTAATAAAAAATTTTAAAATGTAGCCCTTCCCATAGATTCTTTCAGACTTGTTCTGTGTCCCATCTTGCTTGCTGGGGTAAATATAGCTGGAGTTCAACTTCAGATCAGTTTTATTTCTAAAGTCCTTACAAATCCAGTTATTCCATTTCCTAAATGTTTTCTGGTACCTACAAACTGCAAGATGTTCTCTAAGGCTGCTGGGAAGAGAACGTGTTAAAACACGACCTCACCTTTTCTTTTCTTTTATGTATTTGGTACAGGGTCTCACTACACAGCTCAGACTGGTAGTAATCCTCCTGTTTTCAGCCTCCCCAGTGCTGGGATTACAGGTGTGCACCTCACCCCCACGCCTGGATTCGGTCGCCGGCTTAGCACACCTCTGGGAATGGCGCAGCATACGGGACTGGGGATTGAACCCTGATCCCTGTGCTTGCCAAAGCAGGTGCTTAGTCTGCTGATATCTGGCCAACCCTTTGACTTTGACTCCAATAATCAGACCACAAAGCAGAATATTCCAAGAAAGTGTCAACACAAGTGCTAACGGAACCCTGAGAAGTGACTAGTGGGTAACAAGGAGGAGCTGGGACATCTAGGACAGACAGGGCCTCCTAGGACTAGACAGGGACCCAAGTGGCCCAAGAGCACATCTTCACTTCTGCTTTTTCCTGAGAAATCTTATTAGTTTCTTCCTCAGTTCATTTGGAAAATCCATCCTCTACCTGGTACAATTACTTTCTGTCACACTAATACAGGTTTCCCCCTTCTTACCAGGATTACAGCTAGAGCTTCAGTTTCTCTAGCTCCAATTTCTCCATCATGATATACAAAATATACCAAGTCAGTATAGTACTGCCTATTTGCTTGTGATCCTTCCCTACTTCCCCTCAATTACTATAAACAAATGTCTAAGATCTACCAATGTAATGTTCAAGAGGTTTCGCCTTCACAACATACTCAATTTTAGCCTCTCACGTATCTCAGTGTACTTAGCCCATCAATGTCCCCAAATACAGGGCCTGACCTTTCACCTTCACTCCTTTGCAGGAGACATCTCCCCTTATATCAACTCTACTGGTTAAATTTATACTCACCCTTAAGATGCATGACTATCTCTTGAAATCCCAAATTAAATATTTTTTTCCTTTGAACACACTGCGTTACTACTTTATGACACTCACCATATTCTCAACAGTTGGGCCACAGTTCCTGTCTTCCAGCCTCCCAAGGTCACGTATCCATGTTTCTCTGAACTTATCTCCCAGAGAACCTGGCTATTTACTTGTAAATATGCACAGATGCAATGAACTACCCAAACTATTCCAGGTCCCCTCCATCCTCTTACTGGTAGCCCATAGTGTGGCAATAAGTAAATATTAGATATTCTACTCATTTCTTAATTGCTCAGGCTGAACATCTTACCTTCTTGGACACCTTCCCTTTTTATGTGTATTTAGTCTTCAAGTACTAGGAGAGATAATTCTTTGCTTCTATTATTTGCTTTAATCTCATCAGGTCCAACTTCCGCTTTATTTTCTAGCCCTCATTTGTTCCCTGCCTTCCTACAGTTCATCTGCTACTTTACTCTTCCTAAAACTCCACAGCTTTAAAATGAGCATGCTCCAGTACTCATTTCCAATTTCCCCATAACCTTTATTTACCATTCATTGTCTCACTCCATGAATCCTATCAAGCAAAAATATGAGTCTAGTCAGTATCTCCTGAAAATATCTCCTATTTTTGGTATCCATCCTTTCTTCAAATCATATTCAATGCCTGAGATTTCTTCCCCAGTCCTGTGTCTTTTCAAATAATACTTATCAAGGGCCAGGGAGATGGCTCAGTAGAATAAGTGCTTGCCTGGCAAACACAAGGGCCTAAGTTTAATCCCCAGTTCCGCAAAACAAAACAAAAACAAGTCTTTCTTATCCTTCAAAGCTAAGCTAAATACAGCTGCCCTCAGTCAATGTTCAAGAATACTGCAGTAGAGGGCCGGCCAAATAGCTCAGTGGATTAAAGCGCCTGCAAGCATGTACAGGGGCTGGGGATTTGATCCCTGGGCCTGTTGAAATGGCTCCACCCCCGGGGTGCACTGAGACAGCAATTGAGACTGGGTGTGGTGGCACACGCCTGTAATCCCAGCTCTTGGGAGGCTGTAAACAGATGGATCACTATGAGTCTGATCTAGTAGTGAGACCCTGAACACCCTGTAGACCCTTCCCTAAAATACAAAAAAAAAAAAAAAAAAAATACTGCAGTAGGTATAACACAACCAGCATCTATTCAGCAACTTCTAGATACTGGGTCTATGTTAAGAATATCACTTGACCACATCACAATCTTGGTAACCGCAATTACATCTCACTTTATAATGATGACATTGAGGTTTACTAATATTAAATAACTCACCTGAGGCCACATTGTAAGTAAATGGTAGTCAGGATTTGAAATTAAGTCTCTGACTCCTAAGAGCAAACATTATACCATTACACATGTGAGGTAAAGGAGGGCCTCTGGGTATAGATTCTTTCGAAAATGGTGACTAAGAATGATCACTAAGGAATGGATCTCATCTAGCATCTGCTATGTTCACCCATGGCACTGTGTGACTAATGCCCTTCCTGGGAATGGGGTTCACAACAGGACACCTGTCTACAACATAGCCAGGTGGGACCGTCAAACAGTTTAACTGAGCAAATCCCCTGTGGTAACCAGCCCAGCCACCAGAAACCTATTGTGCAAGTTTTATATTTTACCAGGTATGGGACAGGACACCTCTGAGACACTGGGAAGCAACACAAGCTTCTGAGGAAGAAATGAGAATCAAAGGAACAGAGACAAGGGAATATACACACTCCCTAATTGGGACAGGTCTTTCTACCTGTCCTCAACACTTCCCTGCTCTTAGTCTGGGCCAAACAGTCTCAGCAACAGTAGAAAGGCTAGGTTTTATCTTAGGGTCCCCAGATGATCTGAATATACAATCTTCTCTCTCCAAAGGTCCTAATTCTGTACCAAATGTTTTTCATCTTAATTTCTTAATTAAGTTTTTTAATTAAGTTTTTTTTGTCTGAAATTTGATCTTTCTTGCCTTCGCCCTCAACTAGACTATTGTTAAGGGTATAGCTTAGTATACTTACCAAGATTCCTTACAAGCATTATTTTTAAAAAGAGTACTTGACTAGATTTACAATATTACTATTTTTTCCCATTTACTTTACCTTTCATCTTGCCCTCAAATTTGTTTTGAAAGATATTTGGAATAGTTTCCTTTAGTATTAAAGCTATTCCACCACTTAGTATGGGTGACCTTGGGCAAGTTAATTTCTCCACATCATCAGTTTCTTCATTTGTATAACTGGAACACATAAACAGTCTGCCTCATAGAGCTGTTGTAAGGATTAAGTTAGCATACAAAAAGTACCTAAAACAGTGTCTACTACCTAGTAAGCAGTGGAGAGAAGTTTCAATTTTTAAAATAAACAAGAACTATAACTATATACAGTGTCTACTACCTAGTAAGCAGTGGAGAGAAGTTTCAATTTTTAAAATAAACAAGAACTATAACTATATATTCTAACTTTCAGTTCACTTTAAAGATTAACAGTGGGAGAAATCTTGTAGCAGAGAAAGCAGCATAGGCCGGAACAGTAAATTGTAGTCCACCACAAATAAATTACGTATTTCTGTATGAGTTATTTTGCCATTCAGATCTTTCCTCAAATAAACAGCAAGGGTGGAAAAACAAAAATAACTACTTTGCAGTCTAAGATGAAAAACATTTTAACATATTCTTATTCACCTTAGATTACCTCAGGGAATAGTTATCACTAAGGATTAAAATTGTCTGAAAAAAATTACATGAAATTATTTTTGATATTACAAGCTTAGTTTATTTCAAAACCTCTTTTTTTTTTTTTTGATGGTCCAGCATCTTTTTCAGATATCACTCTTGAGAGTGTAAATTGCTGCTTACCTTCATGCTTTAGAAAATATGAAAAAGCTGTATTTAAACCACGGCTAGTTACCAAAAGACTATTGGTACCACAGAATGAAAACGCATGATTTCCCATTATTAATCTATTTGTATTTAGATATAACATTAGAGGGGCCGGGGAGATGCCTCAGTAGAATAAGCACTTGCCTGGCAAGTGCAAGGGTCTGAGTTCAATCACCGAATTGGGGGGGGGGAATTAACATTAGAAATAATGTAAATACTTCAACTAAAGAATCACCAAAACATGACAGTAGTAAGTAGCTGGTTGCCCGGTTTATGTTTGAAGATTGGCAAAGATTGCCTGAAATAATAAGAATTTTGCCTAGTAATTTAGAGAGAGTATAAATCTGGAGAAACATTCTGGGGTGAATCTTATGGCTCGTTATCTAATAAAATTATTTCTCCACATTTGGTCATCTTTATCTAGTAACAACAGTGCTCTATTGATGTGGTTACGAAGAATTCAACAAGTATTTATTGACCGCCTCCAATCTGCCTCGCACTGGCCAGTACAATAAATGCTTTCTTTGGTCCCAGGCCATGTAATAGCCACTCTCTATCATGAAAGTATCTTTTTGTGTTCTGGAGGCACTGCAGGAAAGGGAGGGGGTAGTGTCAAGCTAAACTGTAGCTTTATTTTTTCAATTACCTTGACCAAATCTAATCTTTTCAAAGTTGAAAGGGCCTTTTGAGTAGTGTCTTTTACTTTTGCAGATGACAAAATTGAGTTGGTGTCTCATTCAAGGTCACTTTGTTAATCTCTCTTAATGGCCCGGTGCAGCTTCGACAAACTCCGTTCTCTCCTTAGCTACTCTAAATCAAGCAGGTTGAACTGAAAAAACATCCACCTAATCTCACGGACTACTTATTTTTAAAACTTTCGAAACAGTTTAAAAAGCCAGAAGAGAAGGGTCTACAAACCCTACCAAAATCCTTAGGCACTATGACAAGGCTTCAAACACTCTTTACAGATCAACGTTGGGAGAAGGAAAAGCTAGTGATCTGGAACCATGCAGAAGCACCTCAAAAACGTGTCCATCTCTCGCCTTCCCCAGTTTTAAAATTTTATTTTATTTTTTTCACCTCGAACTTCTCAAGGGCCCAGAGAGGGGGACGAGGACAAAAAAACAAAAACAAAAACAAAAACCACCTCACCGGAATCAAAGCAAATGGCGACGACGGGTGAGCAGAAAAAGGAGACAAGGGTCAGTTCGCTAGCGACTCCACTCTCAGCAACGTCAAATGACAATGACAGCACTGTAGGTGACGAAGCCGGGAAGGGGCAGCAAACGGTTTCTCCCCAAGTCTCCAAGCACCGCGGGTCCACTGAGACCCTTCCCCGCTCCCCGCCGGGACCCGGGGTTGGGAGTGAGGAAAGTTCTCCCTGGGAGGCTGCGTTTCCTCCTGCGGAGCCCTGAGTGCAGGGAAGGGCTGGGGCTCCTTCTGCTCTCCGCAGGGGCCACCTGCACGGCGACCCCGGGCCGCAGCTGCAGAGCCCACACTCACTCACCCACACACCCCTGCGGCCAGCCCGCCCGCCCTCCCCGGAGGCCAGCCCCAAGTCTCACCGTGAGCCCCGGGAGCGGCCTGGGGATGCCGGGAGAGAAAAGGGAGCTGACTAGGGCTCAGGCCGGCCGAAGGGCACCGAAAACGGACCTAGGCCCTCCCGACGCCTCGACACAGGCACAATGAGTCACAAAGGCCGGAAGTATGTCAGCACCTCGCCTTCCGGGACCGCACAGCGCTTCCGTGTACTCTCTAGGAACGCGGGAGGACTTTGCATCTCGGTTACCGAATCTCTGGATTTAGCCTTTTTCTTAAGGTGGTTTGAGCTTCACCAGCCGTCCTTGGCTTTGTTCGCTCCCATTTAATTGGGGAACCGACGACAGAGGAGGTCAGGCTTTTCCTGACTGATACAAACAGATTCTCCAGCTCAGATACCAGTCCATATGAGAGTTTGATTTCTCCTCTCTTTTTCGTTGTGGGCAGTCTTATTTAGTAATTATAGTTATTACCAAGCAATGTTACTTAGAATTATATGTCTCTGGCAGAGGAGCTGAAGCAAGGGTGTAGACAAAGATCAAAGTGAAACCATGGGTGGCTGGTTTCTCAGACCTGCCCTGGGGAGCTTCTCCCAGGGTACAGCAGAGAGATGCCAATTGAGTGGGTGGTATTTTCAAATACTTGGCCTGTGCACAAAGAACAACTTTCCACAAACAAGCTAGTTATAAGGTTCTGTGCTTTGCTCTGTGGCATATGCTATTATAGCAATTTTAAAGGGAGCTTTCAGAATGATCACAGGCACTTTTGCCTTCAAGGTACCTTTCCCAACTTATGACAGTTATGGGTCTCCCTTGTACCTTGCAGGATAAAGCAGGAATAAGGCTCTTCCTTGTGCATGGGTGACCACAGGCTTCAGAGGTTGTGAAGGTCCTCTATATTCCAAAACAAGCTTGTGGGAGAGATTGAACTGAACAGCTTGGTTGCATGACTGCCACTGATGGCGAGGTAACTATAAAAAATACTACTATAAAACTAAAACCCAATTACAGTACCATTAAAGGAGATTTGCAAAATGAAGGCACATTATCTCCTGTAACACAACTACAGTGACTTAAATGTATAATTTCCTATGTATTTCTGTTATTTTACTTTTTTTTTTTTTCAAAATGTATTTAGTACAGGGTTTCACTATACAGATTGAACTTGTAGTGATCCTCCTGTTTTCAGCCTCCCAAGCACTGGGATTATAGGTGCAACCCACCACACCCAGTCTCTCTCTCTTTTTTCTTTTTCCTTTTCTTTTAAATGTATTTTAGAGGGCTGGCCAAATAGCTCAGTGGACTAAAGCACCTGCAAGCAGGCGCAGGGTCTGGGGGTTCGATCCCTGGGCCTGCTGTGCTGGCCCCACCCCTGGGGCACCACTGAGATGGTGATTGAGACTGGGCGTGGTGGTGCATGCCTGTAATCCCAGCTCTTGGGAGGCTGTAAACAGATGGATCACTACGAGTCTGATCTAGTAGTGAGACCCTGAACATCCTGTAGACCCTTCCCTAAAATACAAAAACAAATAAAACAAAAATAAATGCATTTTATGTATTACTCAAACCTGAGAGGTTTAGTGTCATGAAGTGCTTCTTCTGTTGCCTTTTGCTATTTCTTTGTGTCCCCTGGCTTGAAACAGCATCTTCTTCAGTTTAGCAAAAGATCTATTAATAGAAGTTTGTTTTGCACAGTAGGCTTTATTCTTGCTTTCTGAATAAATGAGAAAGATTATAATGGCACAAAACAGAATTCAACCTCAAGGTGAATATTCAGCATCTACAAAATTTTCAGCTCTCTCCATCATAGGGAATATTCCTGGGTGACTTTTAATGTTTATTCCCTCATCCCCACGCCCTGCAGCTCTCTGCCTCCTCCCTCACATCTGATCTCTTGGAGCTTTTATCTTACTGACTGTTCATCTCTTTTTAAATTTGTCAATCCTCCCACTTTAACCCCCAAATACCCATGGGGACCAGCCAGCCACTGAATGGGACAAATTCATTTGTTACCTGGAGGTGAGCTGGGGCTGTGGTGAGCTGCTCATCTGTTGCGCACAAGCCCTGGCTGAGGCAGGCAATCACTCTTTGGGCTGTTGTTGCCTGCAAGGTTGAGTGCAGATGGGAATTCCTTGTTTCCCAGAATAAACTCTTCATGTTGCATGAAGAAATTCTCTGTATAACCTTGAGGTGAGTTCACTGGGCCCCCAGGGAAGGAAACTGTCCCAGGATATTGACAGATGTAGCTGGTTGTTCCTAATTCTTAGCATTGTATCTTACATTCGAATAAAATCTCCCAACAATTTTTGTGGCCATCAGCACCATGGGATTAGTGATGGCCTGAGCACAATCACACAGTATCTGCAATCTACCCACTGACTCTAAATCTCCTGTCTCCTTCTAATAAGGACCTTTGTGAGTACAGTGAGCCTCTGTGGATGATCCAAGATTATCCCTCTATCACAAGATCTTTGACCAAATCTGCAAGTGTTGGTTTTTTTTTAAGTTTTATTTGGTACAGGATCTTGCTACGCAGCTCATAGTGGTTCTCCTGGCTCAGTCTCCCCAGAGCTGGGATTATAGGCATATGCCACCATGCCCAGTCTCAGTGGCTGGCACAGCATGCAGTACTAGGGATCCAAATCAGGTCCTTGTGTTTGCCAGGCAGGTCCTTACTTAGACCACTGAGCTATCTCCCCAGCACTGCAAGTTTTTTTAAAACTAGAAAATGTAACATGCTAAAAAATTTCGTGATCAAGACATAGATAACTTTGTGGACATAATTCCTACTGCCAGAGTTTGAATCCATGTCTGCACATTATACGTCCAATTCCTGGCTGCCAGGCACCTACAAACTTGCATCCCTTAGCTGCTGCTACTGCTGGTGCAGCCCCAACCGCTGATCTGCCACCATATGTCACCCTTGCACAGTGAGTGACACAGGCGTCTCATTGGTGAAAAAGTCTAGTAAATATAATGTGTAAGATCTCCGACTTCTTCCACACAGAAGCAGTGCAAAGGGAGGAAGTGAGCTGAGAGACCAAAGTGGATAAAGACCAGAAATCTCCATCACCATGGCTTTGCAGCACCCATTTTCACCCTTCCATCTGGATCTGTGCTTCAGGTGGTAAGAACACAGCATTATGCTTTCTATATTAGTTATCCAGAAGCATCACCGAAACTCAGTGCCTGACACCTACAGTGTAAAAGAATAGAGGCTTACTTGTCTCATTTCAGAGGGTTCAGTTCATGGTTGACTGGCTCCCAGGCAGAAACAGCATGGTGGGAGGGTCTTGCCTCCCGCAGCTGCTCCTTTCATGGAGCCAGGAAGCAGAAAGAGAAAAAAAGGGGAGGAGCCAGGGACAAGAACACACAGTTTCAGGTCCTACCCAGCTTCTCAACCAAGCCTGGCCCTCAACAGCACGTTCAACTATGAGCTCATCAATGCCTGAATCCACCAATGAGTATGGCAGCTACACGATCCGGTCATGTCTCAAAAGTCCCACCGCTGAACACACAAGGCGCTCTGGAGACATTTTAGATCTAACCCATGGCACTTTCCCTTCTGATGCTGCGGCTGTCCACCTACACGAAATGAAGTGACCGGCCTTTTCCTACAAAGTCCTCTTAGTCGTGCTCCTGGCATGGAACGTTGTTACATCTGACCTGGTCTGGTTACAGGCTTACCTACAGTTGCAGTCTGTGATTTAAAGTTTGAATTGTTAAATAACTGCTCCTAATGTAAAAGCAATGACATTGCTTCTATAAAATAATAGGAAAAAACAGAGAGAGGAACAAAGAACTGTTAGCGAACACATAGACATACGTAATGTATACTACAGATGAGGACAATAGCATGTAGGATGTAACAGGTCTTATTTCTGTCTTGCTGCAAATTGGCAAGACAGAAAAACTAGAAGAATGCTTTACATTTATACTGACATAAACTCCAGGTAGATTAGCATTTTGAGTGTAAAACAAAGCCATGTGAGGGACAGGAGGGAGAAGTGTGACTAGTTGTATGCTTAGGGGCATGATACCTGAAGAGGGAATTCATTGACCTCTGCCCAGCAGGTACATAGATTTTTTTTTTGAGTTAAAATCCTCCTTTTTAGCTGGACATCATGGCATATACCTGTAATCTCAGCATCCTGCAAGACTGAGACAGGTGGATCATAAGTTTGAGCCTGGTCCAGGCAACTTAGTGACTAATAAGACCTTGCCTCAAAGTAAAAAATAAAAAGGGAAGGAGAGTGTAACTTGGTGCAAAGGCCCTGGGTTCAATTCCTAGTACAGAAAAAATTCTCCTGAGTATCTTCTCTCCATTCTTGTCATCTATATGTGATTTGAACAGGTGTCTTCTCATGTGCATCGGCTCTGCAGCCACTGTGGCTGGTCTAGAGGGGACTTTTTTCATCCAATATGAACTATCCATACCTCTGGCCACCAATCTGAGTCACCTGGAGATTCTTTGAATCCTTCTTTGTTCATGAAACTGAAGACATGGGTATTCTGACCATGCTTTTAGGTATAGACAGTGAGAAAATAAGGTTGACATGTCTTTTTTTTTAAAATGTATTTTCTACAAGGCCTCACTACACAAATCACACAGATTGGACCATGGTGATCCTCCTGTTTTCAGCCTCCCAGTCCCTGGGATTACAGGTGCATGCCACCATGCCCAGTTGCTGTCTCAGTGCACCCTGGGGGCCGGCCCAGCATGGCAGGGCACAGGCATGGCATAGGCATGCCAGGGATTGAGCCCCAGTCACTGCACCTGCCTAAGCTGGCACCTTAGGCTGCTGAGCTATCTGGCCGGGCCTAGGCTGACAAGTCTTGAGCCGGGTGTGGCGATACATATCAGTGATCCCAGCACTTGGGAGGCTGAGGCAGGAGGAGAACTGTGAGTTTGAGGCCAACCCGGGCTACACAGTGAGTTCAAAGCCAGTCTGAACTACCTAGAGAGACCTTGTCTCAAAATAATTTTTAGAAAGCCATAGGGTGGCTGGCAAGATAGCTCAGTAACTAAAGCGCCTGCTTAGGCAAGCTTAGGCAAGTTCAGGAACTATGGTTTGATTCCCGGCACCACATGTCACACAAGCCCTGCCTCCAGGGTGGGCAGAATTGGCCAGAGTCTGGGCATAATGGTG